GGCTATGCAACTTTCTATTATAGCAGAGTAACTGGTCTCGCTCTGTGCAGTGGGTCTCGGACTCCTGGTTCTTACGCGATCCCGCGCCTCTGGCCTCTCAGAGTGCTAGGGAGACCAGGCGTGAGCCACGCGGCCCGGCCAGCGCTGAGTTATTAAAATGAGCATCCGCTCTGTAGCCCGCAAAGCCACAGTATTATGGTCGACCCTCCACAGGTAAGAAGTTGCCAACCCTGACTGCTAGTGTCACGCTTGTTCATGTTTTGCCGTGTTGCTTATCTCTGTTCTCTGCAGACAGCAGTCACCAAGATCTCTCTCTCCCGCCCTTCACACATCGTGAACACGTATGTGCTAACGCACACTTGCTTTTCTCGAAACGGTTGAAAGTATATTACCTGCTTATAATTCACCCCTGCATAATTCAAATGATAGCTCAAAATAAAGCTCTTTCGTCTGGTATAAAGCTGATTCAATCGTCACGCTAAGGACAATGAAGTGTTATTATTGCGATACCATCTGGTGTGTGGCCCATGTCTTAAATGTTGGACTCTGACGACAGCCTTCTTTCTTATATTTTTTTTTTTTTCTTTCGGATTAGTCCAATCGTACGTGCATTGTTCATCTACCGTCTTTCACTGCGGGTTTTGGTTTTGTGTTTTTTTTTTTTCACGGACGGTTGACTTTTTTGGAAGAGTCTCTTAAAAAATTCTGTGAAGATCCTGAGCCGTATAGGGTTTGTGGCCCTATTACGCGGGCGAAGCTAAATAAAATAACAGTCGTCGTAGTAAGCAATGTCTCCTCCTTCTTGGTTCCTGGAACTGAGCACTGTGAGGCTGTCTGGCTCCCAATGTACAGCTAAATGTGGGGCTGGGTTAAAACTGTAAGCGTGGAACAATCTCAGCGCCAGAGCCATGGCAGAGGAGGATTTGCAGGCTGCGTTGCACAATTGAAGCACCAGCCTCCTTCCTCGCTCACGGTTGGCGCCCTCTAAACTAGCGTCTTGGCTGGGCTGTCCCTTGTCTGGCTTTTCTGGCTGCCCTGGCTCCCGCGGCCAGGGGCTCTGGTTGCAGGAAGATGCTGGAAACGACCTGCAAAGTGATTAATTTTCGCCAGACCAAAGCTGTCCCGGCGTGTCTTAGCAGCACCGGAGCCTTTGTGTCTTCAGGCGTGTGCGAGGCGTGGCGTTGCGTGCGTGTGGCGCTGCACGGAAGCCCTTCGTAGAATCGTGTGAGAGCTGCAGTCGCATGCCCGATGACTGCGTGTGGCTGGTCACAGGTCTCCTCTCTGACCGTGGTCTCAGTGATTTCCAGAGACCAGCCGACACCACGCCTTTGCTTTCCTCCACGTAAGGAAACGCTCAGAGCTTGCAGCTGAATCCACAAGACACTGTGTTTCCACCGAAAATAAGATAGGATTTCGTTTATTTTTTCTCCTTCCAAGAGAAACCCTAGGCTTATTTTAGGAGGTATGTGTTTTTTTATAACAG